GTCTCTGCTTTGCCGGTTTATGCAATGTCTTGTTTTCGTTTGCCCCAAGAATTGTGTCGGAATATAAATCGTTTGATTGCTCGTTTTTGGTGGGGCCAAAGGGAAATGAACGGCGTTTGCCTTGGGTTTCCTGGCGAGGGTTATGTCGGCCTAAATCTGAAGGTGGATTAGGCTTTCGTGATTTTGAGACATTCAACCAGGCTTTGTTAGCAAAACAGTGTTGGCGCATTCTCTCGGAGCCTGATTCCCTGGTTTCACGAGTACTCAAAGGACGCTACTTCGCCAATACATCATTTCTTAACGCGTCCAGGGGTACGAATTCTTCATGGGCTTGGCAATCACTTCTTCATGGTCGTTCCTTGCTTGTCCATGGTTTGCGCTGGGAGATTAGTTCTGGACAATTGGTGGATGCTTTTAGTGATCCCTGGGTACCTTCTTTGCCAAATTTTCGCCCTCAATGCTTACCAACAGCCTCGAATTCCGCTCGCTATGTGTCATTTTTTATCAATTCCACTACCAGATCTTGGGACTTGCCAAAGTTGCGCCATTATTTTGAACCCAGCTCGGTGAACGCTATTGCTGCTATTCCTCTGCCAAGGGTTGCTGATGCGGATCGCTTACTTTGGCACTTTGATTCTCGTGGGGTGTTTTCGGTTAAGTCGGCCTATCACTTGGCGAGTACTTTTTCTTCTAGCCAGCCTAGGGTTGCTTGTTCAAAGATTACTGCATCTCCTTTAGATCCTGCTATTTTACCCAAATTATGGAAGTTCCCTATCACTCCAAAGCTGAGATTTTTCATTTGGAGAATTCTACTTCGTATTCTGCCGGTTCGTGAGGATCTCCAAATTCGTGGTGTTGATTTGATCAATGTGTGTCCGGTGTGTGACTCAGAGGAGGGTGAATCTCTTGAACATTTATTTCTCCGTTGTCCGGTGGCAATCTCTCTTCGACAGTCTGTTGGTCTCCAGTTGCCGCTAAATTTCGCACCTGAATTCCATTTCTCCCTTCTTTGGCGAGCCCTTTTTCAAGGTGGTGATGTTGCTCTCATCACGAAATGGATCTTGTTCTGTTGGAGAGTTTGGAAAGGTCGTAATAACGTTGTCTTCCTCCCGCATGCTCAGTATACAATTCCCGTTCTCCATCGCCAGTTTCTTGCTCATCAGGCGGATATCCAGTTGGCTTCTTCGGCGGATATCTACCCTCTCCACAATGCTCGCCCTACTCAACTTCCCCTTCCTCGTCAGTGCCCTACGCCTATTCCGGCCCAAGGAGTTCGATTTGCGGTGGATGGTGCAACCAATTCTCTTCATGGTGGATCGTTGGGAGTCGTTGGCTATTGTGACTCAAGGCCTTGTTTTGCCTATGGGTGTTATTTGCCAGGGATATCCGATCCTTTCTTGGTGGAATTACTTGCGTTTCGTGAGGCTTTGTATTTACTGCACCGTTGGCAATGGTTCTCGGTTCCGGTTATCATCTCTGGTGATTCACAATTAGTGGTGATTCGCTTGAATGACAGATGCACTGGCGACGTCATTGGGGGTGCTATTTTGAGGGAGATCTTCCACCTTCTCCGTCTATTCACTGCTGTTAAGTTTATTTTTACGCCTCGAGAAGCGAATCGGGCAACCCATTTGGTGGCACGAAATGCCTTACGTTATCCTGGCATATCCCCTGTTTTACATGATTTTTCTTATCTCTTGTGTCTTTGAGTCCTTGTGAGGTGTTGCCGTAATTGTTGTGGCCCCTTCACTTGTTACCTATGTTATCCGCAAGGATTGCTTGACAAAAAAAAACAAAAAAAAAGGTCACAATAAGCTAGTCCCATGAGTGAAGTTTTTTAAATGTGGATTAAAACAAAATAGATACAAGCCAATTACAATAAAAATAATTAAAAACCTTTCAATTTGACCTTTTAGATTTGGTTCTACTAAAGACCAATGGTCCAGATTTAGTTGCTCAGTTATAACATAAGCATGGATTTCACACCCTACACCTAGACCTCTGAATCTCGGTAATACTGTAGAACATTATTATTGAATCGTATGTTCAACGTTCCACAAACTCATGTAGCTAACTACTACGGACATGGTAAGTAGAAATCATGAGCTAGCTATTAGCTAACGACCATTCACTAATTATGACAATTCTTCTAAAGCGGCCGTACCATAGACTAAACTGAACGAAAATTACAACTCAGACTGACAGGAACAATACGTTTTGTTTCATTTGGAGGGAGTTGACTTCACCACAAAAACGACTTTGACTGTTCTACTCATAGGCTGTTAATGAATCAAACCGCTCATGAACGGTTTGGCGTTCGACTTGAGAAAAACTCGTTCGAGACTCGATTCATCTTAATCGAGCCGGCTCGCGAACAAACTCGTTAACTAAACGAGGCAAACTCGAGCCATACCATGTTCAGCTCGAAAGCTCGCAAACAAGCTCATTTAACGGTTTGACATCATAAAGGATTGGAGTTCATGGATTTTATGTACTGAAATTGGGATAAATATTGTGTTTTATTTTGCTAGACTTTGCTATAGGTTTGAATGTATATTTTGTGCTCAGTTCTAGCTCGATTTGAGCTATAATTAACATTTTATGTGCTAAACTCGATTTCGGGCTCGTTAAACTTATTTGGCGAGCCGAGCTCGAACTTTTATTTTCATAAAGGAGCAGAGCTCGAGCTTGCATATTAAATCTCGTGACGAATACGAGCCGAGCTCGAATCTGAAAATATATTAACGAATCGAGCCCGACCTATGGCAAAGTTAGGCTTGACTTGGATAAGTCGAGCAACCCAAGAGGATATTACACTATTAATGGGACATAAGGAGTACTGTCTCGAATCAAAAGAGAAAAGACGCGTAAACGAACCACTTTCAACCAAGCACACATATATGGCTAACTTTTCCTTTTTACAATAGATAGTAATAGTAACATTGGAAAAAAACGAAGATAGCAATAGTAACATATAGTATTGTGTCAGTAACAGTAATGGTAGAAATTACTACACTTATAACCAAGGTTCAAGGAGGCCTAGTAATGGTAGAAATTACTACACTTACAATCAAGTTTCAAGAAGGCGCTAGGCGTAACTCATAAGGCGGGCATTGAGACTTTGCCTAGCGCCTAGTTTGTCTAAGCGTAGACTAAGCGTGCCTAGGCGTTTGAAGAAAAATAGCTATTTGCACTGCATGATGAATGAAATAATAATCTACAACACTTTCTCACTTAAGTTAAAATGTTTAATAACTTACTCAACACTTAATGATAAGAACATAACTCACGAATTTATAGAATCATAGCTCAATAGCTCACAAAGTTCTTGAGCTATTGAAAATATTGATATAAAAAATTGATTTCGTAGTTGACGTTAATATCCCCCTTTAATATTGACTTGCTAGCTCCATCTAGTTATGTTTAGGAGAGTTTTAGATATCGCCTTACTCCATTGATGTGTTCCAGTATCTAACTAGGCGCGAAACCCCTAGGCGAGGCGTTTTGCCATTGCCTTACGCCTAGGCGAGTCTAAGCGTAAGATTAAGCGTGCATTTTTGAACCATGCTTACACGGTGCTTTCCTCATGTTGTTCATGGGGTCAGTGGCTTGCTCCCTAGTTTGGCAACCAGAGGAGGTTTGGATGACTCCTATTTCTTTGGAGCAAGGATAAAAGTGATAATGATTTATTTCTTAGTTCACATGTCGGTTATTCTGTTAAGTGTATCCGATCATCAAATCGAAATCGGTGGTTAACGGTTACATGCATCAATAACCGATTAAATAGTAAATGGTTGATTTTCGGGAGTCGGATTTAGCTTATTACTAATCAATGGCTAAACGGTTAGTAAACATCGGTCAAATAGTTAACCGACTAACCCATTACGGCCATACTCCTAGTGAGAGCCGAAAATAATATGCCTCGCGATGAGTTGCAAACATAGGTTGAAAATAATGAGATGTTTGAAGGCCTACAAGATCCATTGCCTACCCTAATTGTAATAGTGACTTAGGTTCAAATGAGGAGAAATTTTACAATGCTATATAGTATTGGTGCTATAGGGTTTTGTCTTTATGGTACAACTTAAAATTGTACATTTACGTTATGGTACAACTTTAGATTGTATCTATACTTTTTGTACTAATTCTTTTATGGTACAACTTGAACGTGTACATTTATGTGATGGTACAACTTCAAGTTGTAAAGTTGTACTATAACATAATGATACAAATTGCTTTATGGTACAATCTAAACTTATATATTTAATGTTATGGTACAACTTTAAGTTGTACAATAAAGCACAAATACTATATAGCATAGTAGAAGTGCTCTCAAATGAGAATAATTTCAAAGAGAAGGGCTTTAGAAGGAGTACAGTAGCTCGATTAATATAAACGATGCAGTTAACGACTCAATACTAACCACAAAGTGTTTATCGATTAACCAGGACCGACTAAACGGTTTCTGTTATAACCAAAGCAAACCAATTGCCACCCTATAACCGTTATAGAGTACTTCTTGGGTTGTTTATACAAGTAATTGGCTAATTGCTGAATGATCACAACAATTAATCATACAAACAATTAAGTCATTCGAACAGAGTCTCTCAGAGCAACCACAATGGCTTCCATTTGACAATTTCATTCTGATGTGACTGCTGTCAATTGCTATTTCATGGATGTAGCAAGTCCTTTCACTAAATGAAATTTTCCATGAAATTGCAAGTGGTAGAACGTGGGCCCAAATCTCACTTTTTGCCTTTTTTTTCATTTTCACTTTCTTTTATAGTTTCATTCATATAGAAGAAGTGTTTAGTTGTAATAAAAAATTAGTTGGACCCACAAAATGAAATAAAAAGTTGATTTCATGGATGTAGAGAAAATGAAATTGATATGTAGTGGAATGATAAAAGTGGTTGATGTGGCAGTAGGGACCGCATATGAAATGAAAATGCTATTTCGTAGATGGTCTTATACTTCTAAATCGTTACAAACAAGTCCTCAGTTGTTATAACTTATACGCAACCAGATTGGGTGTTGAGTCTGCTCACTTAACTGGATTCTTAAGCCCATTCCTTTCTCACACAAAATTCAGCCCATTCTCCCCATCTACGGTGCCGGCTCAACAAACCTAGTCTCGGACCAATTCGAGCGGAACGGGAACTTCGCCGATTTCGCCCGTCGCCCGTCGCCGTTCTTCTTCTCCTTATTCCGAGTTTTGCCAGTTTGGGCTCAGAGAGAGGGTTTTCTTCACTTTCTCACTAATGACATCCAAACCCAGTCCCGCAATTACTACAACCTACTCTCCGACGCCGTCCTCGAAAAAAACACGGCCTGATGTCGATTGGGTCCGACCCGACAGCCGTGGATTCCATCAATGTCGCCCCGCATGTATGAACCCCCTTTCTCCTTTCTTCGTCTTCTTGTTTCCTTTGCCACCTGAAAAGAAAGAATATCTTCCGACGCTTAGTTCCTTTTTTAGTCCATCTGCGAGATCTTTTCCGATTTATGTTTTGTTTTGGGATTTTGGTTAGCGGGTGATCAGTGTTTTTTTTTAGCAGTGTTCAAAGTTCTTCCATTTATCTTCTCTCTGGCTGTAAAGAGTCATATGCATGGGAACTTTTAGTTTTAGCCAATTGTTTGGGTGGTTTTAACAGAAATGCCTGCGGGCATTTCGTGAATAGTTGCCCTTCATTGCCCTTATGCATTCTGATAGTCTTCCTGGTACTTTTGTTAGTTGGGATTTTTGGTTTTGAACAGTTCTCAATTGACTAGTTGGACTCTTCGATTTTCAGAATGTTTTGCTGTCACCGTTTTGATGTAGATAAATGTCGACTCCACGCACTGTTACAGAATTTATTGCCTCGCGTTCATGAAGCTTCTTGATCCAGTGCGAAGGTTCTCTTGAGTTCACAAATCGAGAGGGTCTTCAGTTTTGATTTGTCAATGGATTTAGGCACCTGTTTTTATCTTCCAACATATGAATATTTGTACTTGTGTTTGTGTATGTTGGACTACAATGATTGGATAGTGAATCAGCTGTAGTTGAATATGGCATGAACCATTTCGTCTTCCAGTTTTCAGGACAGCTGCTGTAAATGCTGCTGCTGGATCTGCCTATGCCGAGTTTGGAAATACAAAGGTCATTGTTTCTGTGTGAGTATATCTGGTACACCCTGTTAGTGATTCTGTAACTTGATGAAGGGGGACTTCCTATCTCCTTCCATCATCTCTATGTTTTGTCATCTTCCCGATCTCAACATTTTGTTTGCGTATAAGACTGGAGATATGGGCGACCATTGTCGTTTATCTTGTGGTATGCACTTCCTAACAAGCTCTATATGACTTCTCCTTTTCCTTGTCGGCATTCAGATTCGGACCCAGAGAAAGTAAGAAGGCAATGATGTATAGTGATGTGGGCCGGTTAAATTGCAACGTTAGCTACACGAAATTCGCTACCCCAGTGCGTAATCAGGTATCAAATAATAACATCCGTTCTTATTGCTTGGATTGAAATTTCGATGAACCATATTGTATCTGATATGCAAATCCTTCTTTCATTTTTATGTAGGAGGCAGACTGTAAAGAGTTGTCGTTGATGCTTCATAAAGCTCTCGAAGGTGCCATATTGTTGGAAACCTTTCCAAAGACAACAGTAGATGTTTTCGCTTTGGTGTTGGAGTCTGGAGGCAGTAAGTCAGCTATATATTGAGCTTTAAAACTTGTTTAGATTAACACTATCTGCTTCTTGAATGGTCCAGAAAACAAATCTCTTTGGCATATTTGTCTTGTTGTTTTGGCAAAGGATGCACGAAAACTTGTGTAGTGATTTGGGATCTGATATTCTGTGGAGACATTTATGAGTTTGTCATTTTGGTTTCTAGGCGATCTTCCTGTGGTAGTGTCCTGTGCAAGCCTTGCCCTAGCTGATGCAGGGATTATGATGTATGACCTTGTTGCTGGAGTTTCTGTGGTAAGCAGTTTTCAACTTTCCAATTGCTGGATTAGCATCATCATCTCAATGCATTATGGCATAACCAGTCACTTTGGACCATTATCTGAAGTTCTCCACTAATTTTTATCTGGGTGCTTGTAGTTGATTTTTCAGACTTTTATTTGTTCTTTTCTTCTAGTTCCTGTCATTTTTTCACATTGCCGGCTTATATTTGGATTTCTGTTTCTATTTTATAGGCCTCTCTCAGTAAAAAGAACCTAGTGATTGATCCAGTACAAGAAGAGGAAAGCTCTCAAGATGGAAGCCTAATGCTGACTTGTATGCCATCAAGATACAAGGTTACCCAGCTAACCATTACCGGGGAATGGTCATCTGCAAACCTTAATGAGGTATGTGCAAGACACGGAAACTCATTGCTCTAAATGCGTCCATACCTTCCAACATGTGTTTTCCTTCAACGCTTGTATTTCTTGGCTAGCAGGCTATGGAGCTGTGTCTCGATGCTTGCTCCAAGCTTGCGAAAATTATGAGGTCTTGTCTGAAAGATGCTGCATCTTTAGCTTCCCAAGAGTGAACAGATGAAATAGGTACAACTCTTGTTTTCTGTTCATTGCAGTTCTATTTTATGTTCTGTGAGCTAAAGGAATTTATGGCTTTTGCAACCCTTTCTGCACACTACAGAGATTCTTACCTCATCGTTGGTTTTTTTTACTTGTTTCTTTTGCCCCCAGTTTTTGTAGTAAAAGCCAATGAAGGAAAGGGACAGAGTGGTTCGAGTTTGGGTTGCATCCAAAGAGACCTGGTGTTGGAGCTTGGGATGATAGAACGAGTCCCTTGATACTTATTGCTGGGAAATTTTGATTGTGATTATGTTTTCATTCAATGGAGTTATCACTCTTTTGAATGCTTCCCAAAACCAGCAAAACCTGTTCCATATTTTGAGCATTTAGCCATTTGAATCCCTCCATAGGTGCACTTTGAAATTTTATAGTAGGACAATGGACAAGCGCTGTAAAAAGGACTGAGATAGGGTCATGTTGAACAGAAGGCCGACTGTCTTCAACATATGTTGGAATGGCACATATTATGGGTGCCTCAACCTTTCTGCTTCTTTAATCAAAGAGTTCTTTTATAGTAGAGGTAAAAAGTGAAGAATGGGGTTCAAGTGAGATCAAAATGTGCCGTTAAGCTTTGCTCCTAACTTGGAATTCCAAGACTTGTAACACAGAGATGCACATAAGAGATCCAACAACTTATATTCACTTTATCAAATATTATATAAATACAGGAAATACTCAAACTGGAACAGCAGGCCTGAGAGAGACTATTGCCTTCTTCATCCTCTCCACAGCTGCCTGCAATGTGGGGAGGGATGCTGCATACGAGATCCGTATGCATGTGTCGTCTCCAAATGCAACTCCTGGGACCAATGCAACCTATACAAGAAAAAGATAACTCACCATTGAAGCACAATAGAGACATAGAAACCATTGATAGAGGTAGCAGCTTTTATTTTTCACCTGAGCTTTGTCCAATAGGTATCTACAAAGGGATTCAGAGTTCACAATTTCACCGAAACCTTCAACAACTGACCCGTAGTATGAGCTGAAATCTATGAACAGATAGAATGCACCCTGCAAAGGAAATGCCCATCTCGAAGTTATATATGGATGTGGGTTTATATATGAATGCACCCTGCAAAGGAAATTTATTTTTCACCTGGGGTTCAGAAATTTTGACCCCTTTGATTTCTCCAAAGCTTTTAACCAAGACGTCTCGACGCTCCCTGAATGCTTTCACCATAGTAGCCACTGCTTCCCCACCGGCATAGCCTAGTCCTAATGCAGCAACTGCAGCTTTCTGTGATATACTGCTGGCCCCAGAAGTTGACTGAAAAAGAGATCACTGTAACTAAAAGAACAATAGTACACTGCAAATGTAACAGTTTATAGAGAAAGTAGGTGTCTAAATTATCTTTTGAATGCTTTTCAGTAAATAATGAGAGACCTGCTTAGTTCTTCAGTAGCTTAAAGAAGAGAACTTATAGGAATAAACATACTTTTTTGACGTTTGGATTGCCAATGGACAATTTATCGTAGACACTTAGAGCACTAACATGTTGAGGATCAATGCCTAGAATGATTTCAGAAGTAGTAGAGGTGAAACATGGACGAAGGCTCAGCATGTCAAATGCTCAGGCAAGAGATTGTTGAAGCTCCAACGACCGTATTTAGCACAAGGATCCAAATGTTCCATAATTTCATGTTACGTGACTTATTTCAAGCGGTATCTGGTAAATCGTAAAAGATATAAAAGACGAGCAAGAACAGTGATGAGAACCAATCATCACTGGTCAATGATTAATGCATAGACAAATTAGGCAAGATAGAACATTGCCCTCATAGCATATCAGGGCAACATTTTCAACATTTTAAGTAGACATTACTTACAAGTTACAAGTCTTCATATTCTTGGAAATGTGCAATACCTGGCTTTGTATCTTGTTACATGCTGATACGAAATGCTTAGGACCAGCAATATATCCAAGTCTCCACCCAGTCATGGCAAAAGCCTGCAAATTTCAATCTCTAAAAGTCAGAGCCTTGAGGGCCTCGACTTTCTTTTGAAAACAGTCTTAAAGAAAAGACTGCAATCACAAAATGGAGGATACAGACACATTTCTGGTTACCTTGGAAAATCCGTTTACTGTCAGAGTCCTCTCCCACATGCCTGGCAAAGATGCAAAGCTTGTGTGCTTGGAAGGTTCGTAGATAATGTGTTCATATATTTCATCGGACAGAACCTAAAACTCATCACCAAAACATTTAAAATGTAACACATGTATACATGAATAGTGAGAGGATTACATCGTGGGCCGATCAAGCATACCAGAAGTCTGGGATGTTTAGCTACAATTTTGGCAATCTCTTCCAGCAATTCCCTGGGATAAACAGATCCTGTTGGGTTCGATGGAGAGCAGAGTATCAAAAGTCTCGACTTCTCGGTAAGTTTGGATTGCAGCACTTTTGGATCCATAAGGAAGTTCTCGGAGATAGAGGTTGGAACAATCACAGGTTCAGCATCAGCCAATCTCGCCATTTCTGGATAACTGACCCAGAATGGTGCTGGGATGACAACCTGAAATTAGTTGTACAAACTGGTTATAGTTAAATCACACTAGCAAGACCAGTTTTGGGTTTGATTAAGAACTTTACCTCATCCCCTGGGGAACAAACTGCAAGCACAGCTTGAATGATACTTTGCTTTGCTCCATTGCTAACTACAACCTGGTCAGGCGCATAAGATAGACCGTTCTCCTCTGAAAGATGTAAACAAACTAACAAGCTGAAATCTATGCAGCAGATTGCAGTAATACATGAAAGCACAAGTATGAGCACACACCTTTCAGCTTCTTACAAATTGCAGCACGCAGCTCCTGTGTGCCAGCATTAGGGGAGTATCTAGTGTAACCTTCACGGATAGCATTAATGCCAGCCTGCCCTTCATAGAAGAAAGAAAGTAGGTTCAATTTATCAGTGAAATCCACAGAAAATATGGATAGGGGATCATTGACAAGAGAAAGACCATTATTACCTCGGCAATTACAGCTGGGGTGTCGAAATCGGGTTCCCCAGCAGCCAACCGAATCACAGGAACACCAGCTTCTGCTAGAGCAGTCGCCTGATCCGTTATGGCCACAGTTTTTGAGGGTTTTACCGAATTCACTCTGGGGCTCAATGAGACATCCAATTCCACAACTTCAGCGGCAGTATCAGAAGACTTAGCCATGGCACTTATTGTAGAGAAACGTACTGAGTTTGATGTCCCAGTTAACCTATCAAGAACTACAAGTGATCAGAAGAGGAAACAAGAAGTAACCCTCAAAAGCTGGGATGAATATATGTTTTTCAACCCCTCAGAAAGAAAACAAGATATGAAAACAGATGGTGGGCCACATTGATCCCCAGTTTCACCAAGCTTTTCTCAACTAAAAAGCAACACTACCCACCAAACTAGATGCACCAAAATACACAAAGCCGCGGAGGTAGACTCATTTGCCGATTGCCAGCCTCTTTCTTCCAACAAATTGTTATGTGGGAACGAGGAAATTGGAAACTTACAAACCCCAAGCCTTCAAAATTTAAAAAAAGCAAATCTCTTTTCTTCCATACATAAAAATATCACCAAATCCAAAGCTTTCAAAATGAAGTGCATTGAAGGGAATCAAGATGAAGAGAGTTTTCGCTTACTTCAGATGGAGAGACGGTGGCTGGGGAAGGAAGGAAATGGAATTGCCATAGCAGGGTGCAGCGGAATGAAGACGCTGGAATGTGTGATTCCTGGCAATACCAGAAGTGGAACCAGCTTGCAGAGAAGCAGCCATTGTGAAAGAAACAGACAAGTGGTGGGATCTCGGGGGATTTCATTTGAGGCGGGTGATTTGGGGGTTGGTGGGAAATGGAATATGGGAAGAGTTTGGTGGGTTGGTGGATGGGCGGTAAAACTGCCACTGGGTAGTAAGTAGGTAATATGCCAAGCTTTTGAACCCTCGCTTCCACAGTACAAAAACTGGAACGGGGAGACAGAAACGATTTAGGAAGGACAATTGGCTGCGGCTGCTTCGTCCCTGGTCCTCTATTCGTCTTGGTTTCTGATAACTTGTTTGGCTGTGGCCTGCGGGTTTACAGTTTCCAGCCCATTTCGGGTAAATCAGAAGGCTATAAGAAAATTAAGGAACGAATGTAGCAAAATCCGAACCCAACTGCCGATTTCGGATCGGAAAGAATAGAGGAGCTTCCGATAAATGTATTCTTCTGATCGACAATGGCGGAGAGGGAAATGGAATGATTTCGGGACCTGGGCTGCGGTTGTTTTACTATACGAAATATGGGCTGCGGTTGTTAACCCCAGGAACAAGGTTGTCAAACCGGTTTAAGTCATTGAGCTGGTCAAGCAAGGGGTTTGAGGTTTAATGGTCTGATCGGGGTCCGGCCGGTTTGAGCCGTTTTAGACGTTTTCTAAATATATATACAAATAAGGTAGTAATTAAAGATTTAATGAGTGAAATAAAACTTATCTTACATATATCTATTAAAAACTTATTTTCAACAAAATAAATCTACCTAACCTCCATGATCCACCCACCATTTCCCTTCTTTCGTTCCTCTTCCTCTCTTCCCCCACTCTTCTTCTCCCTCTTTAGGGGCAGATCGGGGGGCTTTCTGGAGGCCGTTTTGAAGCCCGACTCGGGTCGGACCGGGTCCAACCGGGGGGGTTTGATAGGGGTTTAACAACCTTGCCCAGGACAAATAATGGGCTAAACGCACTAAGCGAAACCCACTACTAAAGTTCGTTCGAGATATATATCTACACATAATAATATAATAGCAGGGAGAAGGAAAAAAACCACGATCCATGACACCGTATCGTACCGGTGGTTCAACCACGAAATATCAATATTGGAGGCTAAATTGGTAGACGGTATTTAATGGTCTAGCGGTTGAACAACGGTTAAACCACGATTTTATCATAAAATATCATACCACTGACTTTTCCGGTACGATATCCAGTACGGTTTCATGGACCATGAAAAAAACTCTTCTCCCATTTCAAATTCCCTACTCCAGGAGCGTTTGTAGGAATGGTAGAATAGGGAATATCAATTTTTTTCTCTTTCCTCTGTAGAACGGGTCAACTTACCGTACACATGCGGATTTAAACGGGCTCAAGAATTGTTGCGGCCCACAAAAATAGAACAGGTTTCTTCAAGCCTTTTTATTTCTCGGTGTTGGTAAAATATATATGAAAGGGCAAAAACAATACTCATTTTGTTGCTAAAAGAAAAAATTTAACAATAAACCAATGCATGGATTCTAATGGACTAAACGCTAACCATAAAATAAAAGAGTTTAATGGGCCTGACTGTACGTAGGCATCGGGCCGTGCCGCCCACGGGCTAGGACGGCACGGCACGACCACATGCACGAAATAAATGGGCTAGCCCGGCACGAGCACGAATAATTTATGGGCCGTGCCGGGCCTAAATTTCATGGGCACGGGCACGACACGGTATATAAGTGGGCCGTGTCGAGTCTAATATTTTCGAGACTTTATTGAGTATAAGAACAAACATGGCAAGAAAATAATATTTATTTAATAGAAAATAAATATAAAAAGAATTATAAGTTCAAATATTACAAAACCCAAGTAGAAAAATAATAATTTATTGTTGTTAGAAGTGTCATAAAGATATATACGTAATTACTAACATAAGTAAAAATGGACAAAGAATTAAACAAGCCAAATCACACTCGCTATACTTCCAATTTTCTTTCCCCCCTTATTTGTTACTTTTCTCAAACATTATCGGTTAATACAATCTTCCCCGTCCAATTTTCACCTTCTTTTTCATTCTCTCTTTTGTTTTCGTCATTTGCATTAAACACGAATACGAGCATGACACGATTCGAACTGTGCCCGTGCTTGGGCCGGGCCTAGCAAAGTTAACAAATGGGCTTGCATGGCATGGCACGACACGAAACTGACGGGCCGTGCCAAGCACGACACGAAATAAATGGGCTCGAAGCATGCATGTGCCGTGCCGGCCCAAGCAGGGCCCAGCGCTCATGTACAAGCCCGACCTATACGGGATTTGGCCATCAAGTAAAACAAATGAACATCATAGGTTTGCTATCCTAAAACAAGCTATTTTCTCTAGCATAACATATATTATGCTATTATTTTATATCTTTGTGGCTAAAATATAATGTATTTTAAAGTTATTAAATCGTTCAACCTCGACCAACCCAATTAGTCCATTTTTTATCATTTCAAATATATATTATGTAATTATTTGATATCAAAATGATTAAAGTATAGTGTATTTTATAGGGAATCGTTGGGTATTTGTTAGTAAAAAACTAAACAGAAAGATCCATTTAGTTGTTTTTAACATTAAAACGATCCTAAACATTTTAAGTCTCCTTTCGAATTTTTATGGTTTTGTTCCCGAATCAGTGATGTGCAAATGGCGAATTAAATATCCTTTGCAAGCTGTTGTTAACTATGCACGACTTTCTCCTGATCACCGTGCTTACATTGCAGCTATTTCAAAGGAGACCGAGCCAAAAACCTTTTGGGAAGCAGTGCGTCATCAATGCTGGCGTGATGCGTGTCATTGATGCAAAATGGGTATACAGAATAAAGTATAACCCCGACGGAACCATAGAGCGATATAAGGCGCGCCTAGTGGCAAAAGGATATACCCAGGTTGAGGGTATTGATTTTCATGACACCTTCGCACCCGTAGCAAAGCTTGTGACTGTCCGTTGTATTTTGGCTCTTGCTGCACAACGAGGCTGGCTACTCCACCAGTTAGACGTGAATAACGCATTCCTCCATGGTGATCTAGAAGAAGAGGTTTATATGCGTGTACCCCAGGGGTTCGGTCAACCAGGAGATAACAGGGTTTGCCGTCTGCGCAAGTCGCTTTATGGACTCAAGCAAGATTCGAGAAACTGGTACACGAAGTTCACGAAAGCTCTTGTTAGTTTCGGTTTCTCCTGCTCAAAAGCCGATCACTCTCTTTTTTACTTGTAAGCGTGGTGGCCGCTTCACGTTTGCCCTCATTTACGTGGATTATATTATTCTTGGCGGAGACTCCTTGGAGGACATTCAGCAGGTGAAGGATTTCTTGCATCATCGCTTTAGCATTAAAGATTTGGGACCTCTGAAATACTTTCTTGGAATTGAGGTCTCTCGTTCGCAGAAAGGGATTATTCTCACTCAGCGAAAATATGCATTAGACATCCTGGCAGATACGGGAGCTCAGGGAGCTCGACCGTGCTCATTCCCAGTCGAACAGAATCATCATCTCAGTCTCTTAGAAGGTCCAGCAGCTACTGATCCTTCTGCATATCGCAGGCTTGTTGGTCGACTACTTTACCTTACTGTTACGCGACCTGACATCGTGTACGCAGTAAACATTCTCAGCCAAGCAGTTCACAGTCCTCGTCAGGCACAAGTGGATGCGGCACATAGAGTCTTGCGATATCTGAAAGGTGCACCAGGCAAGGGATTGTTTTTCCCGGCGCATGGTTCGATGGATTTGATCGGCTATTGTGATGCCGACTGGGGAGGTTGTCAACAAACTCGACGATATTTTATTCAGCTAGGAACGAGCCCGGTTTCTTGGCGAACAAAGAAACATACAGTAGTGGCACGCTCATCAGCAGAGGCGGAATATCGAGCCATGACTAGTACAGTCAGTGAAATTATCTGGTTGCGCTGGCTCTTTCAAGAGCTTGGAGTGCATATAAGAACAGCTACACCGCTATACTGTGATAATCAGGCAGCATTACATATAGCAGCCAACCCTGTGTTTCACGAGCGAACGAAACATGTGGAGATGGATTGCCATTTCGTTCGTGAACGAGTGGTTTCGCAGGAGATAGCGCCTCGGAAGATAGCTACACAGGATCAAGTGGCAGACATGTTTACAAAAGGATTGGGAGTAGATCGTTTTGGCTTTCTCTCGTCCAAGCTCGGCCTTCATAATCTTCATGCCTCCGCTTGAGGGGGAGTGTTGCAGACCATGTACGTTCATGTGAGGAACGTAGGTTGCATGGTCGAAGTGGTACTTGGAGTGAAAGAGTTTACAGTATGAGTTTTGGGTAGCTAATTGTAATTAGCCCATAAATAAACCCGAACCCTAGATGATTGTGTAAAAGGGCTCGGCTAGGTAGGTTGCATGGTCGATTTTTACACCCGCATCAAAATCATTTCCACTAGTACTGCTGCCACGGCCGGCGGTGGTGGTTTGGCCACCACCATGATAAGCTTCGACGAAGGCGAACGAATCCTCCGCCTCCCCGCATTCACCTGGACACCCAACTGCCAAGCACTGATGAGAAACCTCGTCGCTTATGAATCCATGGCCGCGGTCCACGATAATCCCGGGATTCTGACAACATACGCGCAGCTAATGCACGACCTGACAGCCGCCGGGAGCGCGAAGGAGGTCAAGTTGCTTAGACAAGCCGGCGTGATCGTCGGGGATAATCACGCCGACGTTGGGAGACTGTTCGGCGAGAATATAACATCGACGGTGGTGATTGGCAACCTGAGTAGTAGGCAACAACAGCAGCAGCTAGATTCGCAGATCCAGGCCGTGAACCGGTGCTATTATTATAGCGATAATGTGAACACGAGGTCGTGGGGGATTCTGTATAGACGTTTCAAGTTGGGCCTGAGGCGGCTGGCCCAGTTGCTGCTTCTGGTGTTTTTCCCGGCTGTTACTCAATTGGGCTCGTGTTTTTCCCGGCTGTTACTCTGTTGATGTCCACGCTTTCTTTTAACGTCTGGGACTGCGTTTCCCCGTGGATGGCTCTGCTGCTGCCTCGTCTCTGAACTTTTGTGGCAGCGCGCGGTGTGCCTTTAAATTGCCCTCTGCATGTAAATTGTAATTGTTTTGTTTCTCAAACGGATGAAATTATGTCCTTTATAAAAAAAAAAGA